TATTTTCGCATCATGGTCATATTGGTAGGAAGACTTAGAGGAAGACACCTTGTCCGGAGTCCATTGTATGCGTCATCATTTCCAGAGTAGGACCGTGAACGTGGTACATTTCCAAACGTTTCGCCGACATTGTCAATGAGTATCGCCACTCTTAGCAACATACAACAACTCGTCAACAAGTGAAGTTGATCCTTTGACCAAACGTGTACTAAACAATTGTGGTATCTCCCCTTCTGAGCTGGGTTATTCGCGTTTCCTGTATCATCCTATCATACCTTCACTATTACAATTTTACCGTGTTTGTGTTGTGTGCTTCTTTGAGCGACATGAAACCTTCCCACTCCAACTGTCGTTCTCACCCCCCCTTCATCCTTGTGCAGGGAATGTTGATCAGAGTCTGCTTTATTATTATGTAGTTCTCTTTTCTAGTCTTATCCCAGTCTCTCTCTTGCTTAGTAACAACCTCTATACAACGGAAGGAGATTGCGACCACACAAAAGGTCACACCATCTTGGTGTTCATACCTTAGAAGAATTAGTTTCTGCTCTGATGATGTCCATCCTATGATGGACGAAAGCTTAAATTGTTTTCTCCAAAAAACGAAAAAACATTTCTCCTGAGCTGCGTCAACATGAATGTCGTATTCAAGCCAAACTGCTGCAGAACAGCGGAAATCGGCTGTCGTCACCTGATGTGATGATATCTCTTTATTCTGCACTTGCATACTAACTGAAAGTCTCCTCAAGAGTGTTATCTTGACAGATCCATCAAAATTTAGTTACCTTTCGCATCTACTTCCTAATTAAATCGCAGTTTTCACTTTTCAGATGCTAAAATAGACGTACTTTGAAGGTTTTCCCAAAATAACCAAATTTACAGATTTACTTTTAGTGGTATCTCCTTAGCTGCCTCTTCCTTCAATTCTTTCATTTGCTTTTGCTTTGTCTCGGCGTTGTACAAATCTGATGGCTAAGTTGAGAAATTAAATTGCCCCAAAACCTATCTTTTTGCCTCACTTTAGTCCATTTGAACTCTTAATCAAACTGACTATCACTAAAAATACTTTTACAAATTTGCGAACCTATAATTTCTTCGCCGGTTCTAATTCTCTCATGAATATATTTCCCATTTCTCTTTGTCATGTCAGCGTCTCTTCTCAAAATATCTCCTTGAGGAATCTAGTCGGGCGCCTGTGATCGACGTGATCGTGCCGGCGTCCCCAATCGCCACCAAAGAGGCAGCACAGCTGAGAGATCTAATTGACCAACGTGACCATGAGATCCGTATCCTTTTTCCATGTCCCCATTTTCAGACGCACGGTGAAGCCGCTTTTTCATTCTGAACTTCAAATAGCTGACATTATATCTCAGATTTAACATATCATCATTCTACAGTGAAGCTCTTGCCTTTGCATTAGAATTGCCCAATAGAAGTGCCGAAATGAGATAAAGTGAAGCAATACCAAATTGGTCTACAGCGTTAGGGCGATATCGGCATGCTTAGGAATCAGGGCTTCAGTTTCACTATTGCTAAGGACATAGTGTATGTACCATCAAACGCTTAAGGCAGTGGACAAGTGAACTTAGTGGACGGGAGGGATACGGAATGCATTGTTGAGGGGACGAAGGGGACACTGACAGGAGTTGGGTGAAGTAGACTGGAATGGCCAAGTCGGACCGACAATTCCGGCACAATGGAGTGAAGCAAAGAATAATCCTGCGGAATGTGTGATTAGATTAGAGAAGGCAAGCTATGAATTGTGATACATGAATAGGGGATAGACAAACGTACTAGCAAGTCGGCCTTGTCGGTGAACCTGACCAGCCTTGACACCAACTAAAACTCGTCAAAACCATAAACGAAGTTTATGATTGGAGAAATTTGGTCAAGGAATCAATGTCATTTATCTCTTTGACGAGTTGTAGTTTGGTGTAAAGTTGGGCAGGGCTCACCGACGATGCCGGCGAATCGTTTGACTAATGTACCAAGATGTATTCACCCTATTTCGTGTAAGGTGATAAAGGACTGGTAGTACAATTTTCCCACAATGATATCAGTTGAGCTCATGTTTCCATTCAATTTCACATTGCCTTACTTTCCCAAAAGTTGTTCTCATCCAGACAACAGTGGACTGCAGTTTCGACCTCACATCGGTCTTATCAACACCCTCAGCGGGAGTCGAACCG